TTCTAGTTTAAAACAAATAACCATCTATCATTTCGCGTTTCAATAAAAGTCTTTTCCGGTCCATAGGATTAAATACACAAATACATCACCGCACGATGTATTATACTCTTTCAAAATTTTAAAAATAACAAAACAAAAGTTGAAAAATAAATAGAATCAAAATGTTGCGATAAAATATACTAAATACGAAAACGATTCGTTCACTTTGCAAAGTGAACTTTTAAAATCGTGTAGCTAACATTAATAAAATGTGAAATGTTTATTTAAAAAAAAAAAAGAAAACACTTCTCGAGTAACTTGTTCCCGAAATCCAGTAATGATTTTCCGTATCTACCGCGACGAAGACGCGCGTTTGATCTCCCTCGAGCGATTCACACCCCGATTAATCCCAAGATCTCCATCGTTCACTTCTCGCAGGTAGCGTTATCTACCCGAGCCTCTTCGGTGCATGAGGCTTCTCGGACGAACTTCCTGACGCGACACCAGGACGAAAAATATCGACGAGCGAAGTCGACTATACGGACGTACCAGGATTCTCATTTTTGCTCTCGCGATGTTCCGGGTGCGTCCAGGAGTGAACTGGATGCTGATTGCCGTTGATTCCTGGTCTTATATACGCGGCACACTTTCGCCTTCGCCACCCGGAGGCCCATCGGGTCCGAGGCCCCAAGTCGTATACCCCCACGTTACACCTCTTTGTTCAGCTACGGCGACGACGGTCCCACCGTCCCGAGCGACCACCACTCCCCTTTGGGACAGACGCCCCACTCCCCCTCCCTTACAAGCCGCGAAGAAACACTCTTCTCCTTCTTCAACGAACGGGTTTCGTTCTCTTCCTCCTTCGTTGAGTGCTCATGTTTGCGATGCCTGACTTCTTTTTTTTTTTTCTTTCGTCGCATATCTTCGTCGGTACCTTTGCTACGCGTTGGTTTTATATGTTACTTTCTCTGAGGAACGATGGACATACCGATCGTTACCGTCGTAGACTCCCCTTGGTATCGGAAGCTGCCGACGTGACATCGATCGTGTCCGCGTGTTTTCTCAGTTCGGGCGAAAGCTCAGATTAATCCAGTACGTTAAAACTCGCCTCTTTTCACGTAACGTTTACCCGAGAGTCTATTCTTAACGGGTTACAATCCGTTTGCCGGTAAATCTGTCAGCCTATACGGATATATCGAATAGAAACGCGACACGCATCGATCCAGCGAATTCTCGTCGACTGTCACCATACCGTTGGCATCCGTGTTTCGCGCAAGAGATTTATACGTCAATACGAGTTAAATAAAATTTCGTTGACAAACCAGTTTTGTCGATTTTGGTGCTCATCTGACGCAATCTAACGACGTATCCTGGGATTCTCCCGTTTCGAAATGCGGTTAAAATGGGCTCGAATCGAGTTCGAAACTTTTACTGCGTGTCGTAGTTACTTGAAGTAGAAATATCTCGCGACTGGAACGGAAATCGGCAAAACCCTTCCGGGGGATTAAATCGCAATCATCGAAATGCGCAATCCTCGATTGCACGTTTTGCAACCTGATATTTTATTACTGTGAACTATGCAACGGTCCGTTGTCTGATTGAACATGGGAGAATTATATATTCTATAAGTTTTATTAACATATTTTTTTTCTTTTTTCAAAACTCTTTTTAATATCATTAATTTGTCTGCGATAAATTTCAAGCTACTTATATACCAGGTACTACTAGTATAGGACATTGACATATGTCAACCTGGTTTCTCTGTCAGTAAATTACACTAATTTGCTATCTTTTCTCTGCAATTCCATGTTCTCCTGCAAAAATGCATAATTCACGTTCCAACGTTACGTGTAGTCTTCTCTGTGTGTCTTCGACGTTGTAAATTTCCCGCTTTCCACTTTGCCTTTTCCAAGCAGCTTAGAATATTTTGGCGGAGTTGTAGAAACGTTACTCCTGCTTTATTGATTCAGACAAGATTCCCAGATTTATGCGACGGACGTGATTCTTCAGATAATCAAGATTCGTTAGATGTTATCAGTTATTAATTGCATTTATCAGAGAAATTTTCGGCAGCTTTGTACAACAATTGTACACTTTTTTTAATGTGATCGTCCTATACATTTAGTTCTGATAAAAGATTGAAGGCAAGACGAATTATATTAAAGAATTTTACAACAGTTGCAATCTACTTTCTCTGCCGAACGCAACCATTATTTATAATATTAATCGTAGTTAATTTCAGCCTGAATAAAACAAGAGTAAAAACGAGAACATTTAACTCGACGAATGATTAAAAGCTTAGAGCAGTTTCTCGAATTACACAGAATTTCCTTTCGTTTTCATATCTTTCCCGGTAAACCTGTCGTACAGCGATCGCACTGACGCAACGTAACGTTATACGATTCAGCTACGTGCCATTCAATACGTCATTTTTCGTGGCGATCAACTGCAACGGTCACGCGAATCGCTCGCGGATCAACGTCATCCTCTCCCTTTCGCTATTACTGTTCCGTTTTCGTCCTCACCTCGCCCGGCGCACGCGGTGCTCAACGCCTCGTAACGGTGCCACGTAATAGCGTACATATATATATATATATATATATACAGATGCATGCAGACAGCACCTCGCTAGAATTTATCTCCCGCCGATCTCGTGGGTACACCCATTGCTCCCTTTCGTGGGACACGCGGTCCCACGTCACGATCTTGCTCGGGCTGGTCGACTGGTAAGTTCCGTTTTCCTCCTCCTCCGCATTGCATGCGACCAAGTATGTCGATGTTTGCCGGCGCATTATCCATGGGACGTGATTACCTTACGCGACAACGTCGTGTGGTATTATATCAACTCCACCCAGCAAATAATACCGCGCAAAGTTACTCGCGGAAACTTCACGGGGGGGTTACAAGTTGTTTTTTTCACGGGCGAAAGCGACATGCTCCGCAATCGGAATGAAGGAAGAGGAAAAGAGATCCCTTTTTCCGCCGAGAGATACAATTTCGCGCGCTTTAACTCATCATGTAACAATGACGGGTCAGGCTGGAGGCAAAAGCTCTCGAAAGTGATTTCGTAATGTGACACAGAAACAAATGATTTACTGGAAATTAGATAAGGTAGTAGAATTGAAATCAGAAAAAGGGAATCGACGAGTAAAGCTTTCAATTTGAAATGTGTTTATTCTACAGAAAAATTAATCAAAGCATAACGTATTAATTACGGGACAAAATACTTTCTGTTTGATTTTATCATATTCATTCTCTTGTCCTCTTCTGCTACTTAATTATATTACGAAGCGCTGAGTATCTCTGATTTTAATAAACTCGCCATAAGGCTACCGCTTTCTGGCTAAAAAAAAACTGCATCTAAATACACGAAGCGTCGTCCGACGACGCTTGTCATTTAAAGCGAAGGTCTCGATTTCATTTAACCGTGTAACCCAATTTAATAGCTTTTTATTGCGGGACAATTCTTTCCCCTTGAATACCGATACGACGCCTCGTTTTGACTCTCCCGCGTTGCTTCTTGGATGCGCTCGCCCACCCGTAAAGTGTGGGTAGACAAGAAAGGTTAATCGATAAAATTTGCTAGTAAAAACAGCCGCGGTAACTGCGAAATCAGGTGGTAGTCTTCCCGCCGGGAGTTTCATAATGCCACAAAATTTATGTCGAATTTTATATTCCAGTGCCTGATCGGATTATCCGACTGCGTCTGAATACTGGCTTTTGCAAAAACCGTCTCTCGCAACTTCGCGTCTGCACCGAAAGAGCAAATTAATGCGCAATTAATAATCGCTGTAATCAAAAGTATCATAATTAATAGACGCGCGGCTATTTACGCCGGTTGTAAAATCGATTATAAAACCAATGCTGCGCAAAATTTTATTTCCCAACGTATATACGAAAGTGAATCCGGAGCAGCCTGCGTGGGTGATCACGAGCTGCGCGTTCCTTCTTGAAAAGTGTTTAGCCTGGGAAATCGGATCTCATTAATTTCGTCGATGACTTCACGCACGCACTGCAATATACATATACATATGTATACGTGTATAGACGTTACGAGGGTTACGACACTTTCTTGCGTTATTTTCAAACGACGGGAGACCCGGTCAGCGAGCGAGAGAACCATGGAAAGTGGAAGTGTCGGAATAACGACCGTAATTCCGAGCCGCGCGGTCCCCCGGGCGGATCGCCTGGACGGTATTACGTAAAGGTCGTTGCCGATGAAGAGTCTCTCGGTGAAACGGCGGCATGCTTACCGGTTTATTGCCGAGCGCTCTCTTTCTCTCTCTCTCTTTCTCTATAGTCACTTACCTGACAGCAATGCGGGTCTACACGCTCGATGAAGGCGAGAGTACTATCTTTACCGTCATGTTACTAGGTCCATAGAAACCGGAGATTCTCCGTAACCCCGCCGACCTTATTGACACTGACCTTGAAAGCGACTGCTTCAAGGTGCACGAAAATTGACAGTTTGGACGTGACCAGCGCATCTTCTATTTTTAGAACCGTTTCGATTTGAATCTGGACTAGTCATGAATAAGCAATCGAATCGCTCGATATAATTTCTCTTTCTTTATAAAAAAAACAAAAATATATCTAAATATAATATATTAGAATAATAATTTACAGATATTAAAATGATATTATAAATGATCTTATAAATTTTATATAGATGTTATCAAACTTGCGTGAATTTCATCAAAACGTCGAGCTTCATTTCTATCCTTTTTCGCGCGCATTCTGTTAACATAATTTTCGAGGCACAGTAATATGATCGTTAAATATATTTGTATTATAAAGTCCAGTTTCAGTTATAAAATTAAATAATCGCGCGATAGAAAAAGATATTTGTTAGTGTAATGAATGACCGTCAAATTTTCGCGTCATCAAAATAAGTGCTATCGAGATATGTTATAATATTTTTTTCTGCACGAATATATAATGAGTCAACATTTTATTAAATATGTCGAAACATGTGCAAAAGACATGATATGAATTAATTAGCTCTCTCCCATATTTTATAGGAATTTCGTAGCTGGGGTCCTGCAATTCCAGTTGTATCGCGCGCTGTGCCAGGCTGCGGGTCAAAGGTACGGAGTCGACAATCCGAGGAGGCCGCTGCACAGATGTGACTTTTACAGAAAGCCCGAGGCCGGCAGGATCTTGGGGTGAGATTCAAAAAAAAATTCGATAAATTATCGTGTACCTATAAAACCGGACGAAGCCGACAATCATCTCTCTGCGTCGTTTTTTTTTACGCCACGTCTTGCGCAAGTTTGCCGTGTACGAAAAGCGGACGTGTAGGCGTAATAAAAGCCCGCGTCTTTTAATAATTGGCGTTTAATCAGCATGTACTCCGAGTACGTTGCTTTCGCAACGACGTGTTTCTTTACGACACGAAAACGAACGCGACGAGATCGATGATCGATCGCGATCGGCTTCGCCGAGTTCGCTCGCGAACGCCCGAAAGAGCGAACGTTTCTCACGTCGCGCTTGCATATATCGTGGTCTTTTTTTACAATTGAAAAAGCTGCGTCGCTGGTTCGAGTTCTCTTATTTTGACGTCCGGCAGGCGACGCGGGTGCACAAAGCAAGTAGAAAAACCACAAGTACCGTTTTACTAGTTAAATGATATACTAAAACCTCGTAAAAATAATACATAAGTGGATACGTAATCGACAACTCGTTTAACGCCAACGGATGTTAATTACGTGTACTGTAATTGAAAAGAAAAGATATCAACATATTTTTTATTTACGTGACACATATATGAGAGAAGGATGTTTGAGAAACGTCATACATTTCATTTAAATGTTCGCGCATTTCTCTGTAGACGACTAAAGATTATCTAAATAAACATTGAAATTGAGAGAAAAACTGCCGTGTAATCTAAGTTAAATAAAAAAATATAGATCACGGAGAATATTACAAAAAATTGAGAGAAAGGAACAGAATGAAGGAAACCGCTCAATGATACTATAACTTCATCATTATCTATTATTGATTCCATCGTGCATTACTTTTTTTCTCAATACGGAACAGTTCTTAAAATGTTTTTTGCGATATTTTTTTACGAAATCACAGCATGTCAAGGATGATATTTAAAACTGATGACTCTACATAGCATAAATACGACTACATCTTAACTTGATTTAATTAATTTTGTAAAATTTAATGTTAGACATAATTAATGATCAATTCTTGACTTCATCATTTTGAGACCATTTAACTACGGCATCGCGTTAAAAATATCGTCGAATAAACCTTAAAAGATACTTCTGAAGACAGCTACGTTTATTGCTCATCTTAAAACTTGTTAAATATATCCAATTTTAAAAACGAGACGTTGTTTTTGATTCAACCTAATTCGGTGACCATACAGGTGGAGCCGGATTGCCATCCCAAAATGTCAAGAATTCTTAGAATCTCACAGCAAGGTGGGACCACAAACGCGATCAATGTCTCATTCCGGGTCTTGACATTTTGTCCCCAAATCTTCTTTAAGATTCAAGGTTAGGATTTTTTTTAACGCAGAATGCGCTTAAAAAATATACACAAGATCAATGTAGAAACTGATAGACTTCCTGAAAAGAAAACGAGAAGAGACGATCGTCGGCTGGTATTTTGCCATTCGTCGCGACTAATTTAAAAACGGATGGAATATTAATTCCTTTATATTATACGACTTGCCCGTGTTAAGCAATGTGATATCGTAATTTTTATTAGTCACTTTGCTGAATTATTAATTATTTAAAACAGTTTGAATACGCGATTTGATGACCCGGTTATATATACTGTCCGCATATACATATGTGTATGACATAATTCTATTAAAAATCATAAATTATATACCTTTTTAAATATTAAATTTCGAAAGCAGGTAGTTTAATTTAGATTGGTCGCCTCTAGTCCGACAATTTAGTTTTATATCGCCACTTGAAATGGTTAGTTGAATTTCGTATTTATTTGATTTCACAATCACGTCCCCGTTGCTTCTTATGTAGCTATATTTGGAATATCGAGCATGAAATCTCTAAGACGATTTCAACATTCATAATTACGTGTCTTCACGATGTTTGTTCTTGTATATCTTCCAAATGATCACTCGCCTATATAGACACTAATTATTATAGCAATTATCGAAAGAAAATGGTCACTACTCATCAACTAATTCTAAATTGGTTAGGACTCGAGTATATTTTCAAACATTTTAAACGATTATTTATGACACTCTTTTCATGTAACACATTATATATATTTTATTATTTCTTCTTACGACTTAAAATGTTTTTCCTTCTAGATATATTATAATATAATGCGACGAAAGAATTTCTGATTTCGATCGTTTTTAAGTCGTTTTAGTTTATTTGTTAATAAATCTTTGTCTAGAGAAACTGCATGTATTGTGTCTTGCGTAGTTTGGGAGCAACAAAAACACGCTTGCGAGCCGTTGAATAAAAATTGCAAAATTAAATACGGGCACTGTACACACAGTGATATAATGCGCAATAATACAGCTGGCTGCCTCGAGGAAGATGATGCTAAGCGGTCGTTTTTAGCGCCAAAGTAGCATTTCTATGTTTTCGCGCAAGTGTTGTTCGGCGCCAGGGATTGCGGTTTTGCGTCGTTGATTACGGGGCGCACATTATGCACGCGAGCGCGATCGTGATCCCCGAACGGGTGTTGCAAGATGCGTGCGCCCACGGTAATGACGCTTATTGTTAAGATCGTATCGTTCTAGCGTGCAAGACACGCGGATTTTGACACGCGGCGCCTTTATTAGCGGAGAGCTCTCGTTTGCACTTGCTCGAGCCAAACAATCCTCGTCGTTATCCACGCGATTGGTCCACATTGAATTTCATTGAGTGCGTCTCGCGCGTGGCTGAGCATTATATCACCGATCGCTTCACGATCGGATCTCGATCGCCTTCTCGGCGGACGAACTGGCGGACGTTATCTGGGTCAACGAGAGGGAAATCTTCGTCCGGTTGTCTGCAATTTCTCCGGTCCGCCAGCCAGACGTTTGTCCTCTCTCGACATTTTATTACAGTACGCGCGTCGTTTCTATACAATTTTATTTAATCAAGGCGAGAGTAACTCGTTAATAATTACGAGACTAATTGATAGTCATTTACGGAAAGCGAGACGTGGCTCTTACAATTAGTTCGCGTTTAGAGCGGCGGGCACACGTAATCGAACTGGTGTATAGAACTAGGCAAAACTACAAAAACACGGGCGTTTATAATCAATACGTACATTGATATTACACATTGATATTTATATAATCGTCGCTAGTTACGTGAGTAAAAGTTCTTGCAGTAATAGTTGTATGGCATGAAACGTGTAATACGATTTCCATATTCGTTAAAAGAACGATGTAGTAAATATATGAGGACGCAATTTTCATACGTTACGAAAATACCAACCAGTCAGGATCGATTAGCTTTTATAGGGATGTTCGTTTCATTAGAATTTATAATTATTCCAAAAATTCGATCGACCTTTGTTGACTTGCAAAATATCTCGAGCGATTAAATTCCGGCGCGTGTAGAAAGGTAAGATAATATATAAAACCGGTGCCACGCAAAAAGAATCGCAAGAAGCGCGAAATCCCACCAAAGGCGGGAAAGGAGCGAGATAACGTACGCACTTAGCTGAAACACCCGGGTTCCTTCGCAGTTACGAAATCGCATTCGCGTTAAAGAGTTACATAAAGTGACAAAAAGCATCGGGCGGCAACAGTTTTATTCTAACGGCGATAATTTATGTTAGAAACGTTCCCCCCGTCTCTTTTACGGTATGTATTCGTGAGCCGAGTCCGGCGGACTCTATCGTGCACATTTCCAAGCGTAACGCGGGCAAAGTTTTATAGATGTGGAAAGTTGCATGATCCTCTTGGCAAGCGGAAACTCGATAAGGATTGTTCCGCATTTGAAGGTGGCCGAGTTGGTAGATCGAAATCTTTTGGCGGCCGGCCAAGTTGCCGAGGCATCCTGCAATAAAGCAGTTATTCGCAGAAGCTAAACTAATCTCGATAGAATATAAAATTTGGCTGCAACGTGTACGGGCAGTAATGCAATATTAAATTATATGTAAAATTCGAGCGAAAGATTTATAGATCGAAATTAGATTTGGCCAAAATTACGATTAATTGTTGCAAGCAATTATTGCATAAATGTATGAAGAAATGGGGAAATTCCTATAACGATTCGTCTATGATAAGTTAATAAATGTGTAGCGATATAACGAATTAAATTACATTTACATATATTATTAGAATGTATCTTCGACTTTTTTGTTGTTAGAATGTCCGCTCGTTGTTTAGCTTGCGATCGAAAGAACGGTTCTGTTGAAGTATCTAGAAATTATTTATATAAGACGCTTAATTTTGCTACTAAAATATCAAAATTTATTGGAATATTGCTCGCATTATGCCTAAATTTTCTATACGTAATTATTTATATAAAACAACGAAATTATTTTCAGATTTGTATGTAATACACAAGTAAAAATATTCACTAGACTAAATTAATTCTTTATTAATTATTGATTAAATTAATTTAGTTATCTTTATTTCCTTTGTTGAAGAATGCGTATATATTTAAATTAAATATAATACGTTTGACTTATGTTAGACATATTCTTCATCGAACGAAATAAATATGAAATTACTTTAGTTCAACTAAAGTAGTTGACTAAACAGTATAACTGAATTTTTAAATATTTCAGCAAGTCGTTTTATCTGCATACGCAAATCCATCGTGTAGCATATTGCGAATTACCGGTGTCCAAACGAAAATTCACCTAGAAGTTTTCACCGTATGCGAAAATCGAGATTCCATCGATCAAGATCGTGCTGACTTCCTGTAATCGAAGGACGATTTCAAACTCTCGCTTTACGGCACGACTATGACGCGATATCGATTGCGAAAGCACGGTGCACGCATTAAAAAGAAGAAGAATACAAAAATAGCGTACGTGTGTCGCGTAAAGGAACGCGAGAGAGTCTCGTGGTGCGGCGAAAGACTCGATACTTAGGAGAGCGCGTTACGTGTTACACTTCCGTTTTTACTGTATGCGAGATTCACTGTGCGAGGAAATCGCCCGCGGATGAAAAATCGTCGATTTTGTACGATATTTTAATATAAAAATCCGCAAACAAATCGACCCAGATATGCCACGTTTGCTGACTCGAGCGCACGATACATTCAAACAGCTGTGGAATTGGAAAGGGATGCAGTTTTGCGAATCCCTTTATGAATAATTTTTCCAACAAAATGCTGATTTTTCGATAGTCTATATTTGTCATATAATTTATAATTTTTAAACGTATATTGACACACAATTCTTCGTCTGCGTGCTTAAAAATGTCGTAAAAATTATTCTATTTTATTATTAACCCGATCTCTATATGTGTATACATATGTATTAGATGCCGGGAATTTACATCTCTTTTAACGAAAACTCGACTGGTATCTTCTTATTTCACAGGTTTTTAATTAGCAACTTTAAATGGTGTGACATTTTGTGGTCAAGGTTTAGATTAAAGCTCGGAATTATTCAAAAAATTTCGTGCTATTTATTTACATTTTATATTTATATCATATTCGTTGATATTACTGTATTCATCGTATTCATTAATATTACTCGATCACGTTTTAATCTTCTGAATTGCAAAAAAGGTATGCGACATCACGGTTGACTTATGCATTCGCTAACACACCGACGCGCGGTGATTTAAACGCAAATGCAAATTGATACTTCGTCCTTGGACGCCACGGACGATCGCACGGAGAATCGGAAAGGAATCGTTTGAAAGTACTGTCCCGCGATCAAGAAACGGCAAAAAGGTTTTGTGGTATACTGTACAACATTTACGCCTTGAATGCAATTGAGAGTAACTGCCGCGTAACTGTTCCCTCGGAGCCTTCTGAATGCATAAAATCGCCCCTGCCCACGATCGCAGAAACCAAAACACGATTTAAATGACCGACAATGAGAGTGCAATCATATCCGTTTTAACTCGCTGTTACACATCCGTCCATTTACGATAATTTAGCATTATTGTGAATCCTTCAGGGACACTTTCACCATTATTTCATCTCTTATTTCTCCAGAAAATTTGAAATTTGTTTCTGTGTCGTTCACTTGTTAAATCTTCCATCTCTAATATTTTATCATAAAGAAAGAAATTAAAATTTCTTTCTTTATGATAAAAAATTCTCCTAAAAAAACTAAGAAAATTGTTTGTTTTAAATATTGTATTTTTTTTCACACTCAATCTTCCTTTCTCTCTATTTTTATTATGAAAGACTACACCTTTTAAAAATGCTAGCTCCAATTGCGATTCTTAAAAAAATTCTAATTATTCTAATGAGACGTTAAAAGTCTCATTAAGCAAAATTAGTCGCAAGTACGTTATTAAGAGGTAATTAGTAGCGACTGTGAATTGTATAAAAATTTCACCTACGTCGAATTAAGTATTCTTGAATTAAATATTTCTGTCAGACGCTTGCTATTCTTTATTATACTTTCGCGATGGGTTTATGCACCTGTTCGTTGATACACCTCATCGGCAAAACGCTCGCCTCTTTGCAGCATCTCGCTATTGCGAAATGCATTGCTCGTCGTCAGGAAAGTACCGATTTCGCCTACGTGCCGAACACCGGAAATTATGTGATCGATATAAATTACAGTCGAAGGCTAAAGAAGTGAGAGAGAGAGAGAGAGAGAGAGAGAAATATCAGGCTTTTCCTGATATATTAAGATGTTTTTATCAATCGAATCGTTTTTCACGAGAGGCGTGGTGGATTCACGAACATTTCTTATTCCATGCGAGTAACTGAAAATGGATTGAAGGTGGAATCGATGTCAGCGAAAAGCTATCTTTCTCGTAACGCCAGTGCTCTGATTGCGATCGACGACGGTATCCGTCGGTCGCACTTTCTGATAGCAGGAAATCACCGCAGTTGCTCGATAGAGCCGTAATGTAATTGGATGCGTGCATTCGGCCCTGAAACGATATGTATAATAATAATATTGTCAAGATTGACTCTCTCGCATGACCTGGTTTCACACACGAACGTGTATTGTAGGTACAAACAAAGCTCTCGAGACTGAAGGGTAATCAACATATTAATTACCTATATAATTAACCAAAGGTACATAAATATCTCTGAATGTTTTCCTATATCCATTTATTTGTCAATTATGTGCACGAAAGGAACAATCGTGCTAAAATATGTATTCAAAATTGAGATATAGATTTGAAAATAATTTTGTTGAACCATAAAAATAATTACGTAGAAAATTAAACATGATGAGCAATGCCACATAATTTTGACACTCTAAAGATCAGTTAACAAAGTTATTTTTAGATATATATGAATTCAACTACTTGAGTAAAATCATTCTTTTCGTATACAGTAGCATCTCGATTATTTCTAACTTTACAAAACTGAATGAATGTAAAGATATGCGACAGTTTATCGTTGTAAATATACAGCAAGTAGAATAAAAAAAATACACGTCGGAAGTATTAAATCGGCATCGTTCGCCAGAAAAAAAAATGTATGCGACGAATGTTTTATGTATCCGCGGAACGTATTTTAAACAAGTTCGGTCAAGAGCCCTCCACTTAGTGAACGTTGCGCCGTGATACGCCGCGATTATGCATAAAGGAAAAGTTGCGAGAGTTCGCCGTTGATCTAGCGATTGATTTGAGAGGCCGATCAGCGCGGGATACCGCCACCGTTGCGTAATCGCCGCGCGTCTAAACAGTCACCTCTGTTGGCACCGTGCACTAGTTCTCAGGGAGCGCGGAGCATCGCCTTTACAGACGTTTAATCTTAGATCAGTGTTAGAAGCTCAGAGGACGATCGTTCGATCGACGATGTCGATGGCCTCAGAATGAATTCATTTGCGATCAATCATCTCGGCCGTTGAGACATATTGTCTCGCTTCTGCGATTAAATTTGCGTATCAATTAATTTTAGAAGCACGGCGGGACGAGGATGTCGAAATGGATGTTTGTGTCCTTTTACTGCTCCGGGGGATTATGTTTTTATCTCACGACATGAGAAGTAGACGAGGATAAGAGGTGTCTGGATTTTTTTTATTCTCGAAAGTCTGCGATGTCGCTTTCAAATCGTGACCTATGTCTATCCGAAATTAAAACGCGCGATTTTATAATTGAGTTCGTATTATCTAAAGAAGCGTTGTTCACCGTGTATTGTCTACAAGGATAAACGAAATTTCAAGGAAGAAACTGAATCGATCTTAAAATATTTTTATGTGTCTCTATTTCCGAAAGTTATATTTTTACGTTTCAGAGTATAGAGTGAAGAGATGACAGCGAAAGGTATTATCGGAGAAATAGGTCAGTGTTGAAAATAAAGTGTCTAAAAGACACACGAGGTATACGGACCAAAAATGTGACGGTGTGTCAATTAAATTGTACTTGTCAAAGGTAACAACGTCGATGTTGACATAAATTTTTCATGGAATTCCAAACGCCGGTGCACCGCAATAAATTTCGCGACGGCATTCCACGCTGCCATAATACGAAATGTATCGCTCGTGCAGATTAAAATCGCGTTGGAAATGTCGAAGAAATGGACTGCGGCATGTCGGAGTCGAGAATATAAATTAGATAGAGCCCGAGGGATAGAGTCACAAACAAGCCAAACTAAAATTAAAACAACTAAAAACTTCACTGATTTTTAGCAAATCTGCAGCCTTAATGTACGGACAGCTAGTTTTTTATCTTAGCAAAGCTATACAGCTGAATAAAATCGTGCATTATTACGCCTCTTATTATGTGTCATGTGTCGTTGGTTCACCACCTCTGTGTTACTCTTTCTTTCCTACGGCCTCGTATCTGCGTTTCCGTGCGAAAAGCACGTCCGGCGATGAGAGAATGTCGAACCATAAATACCTCGTAGCACCATACTGTACACGCGTTACTGGATAATATCCACCTGCTGAAATAGTCGAGATTATCCCTTATGTAATCATTTCATACAACGCTTAATTTCTTTTTCTCGACAGTACAGTCCGTGCATTCCGTCTGTTTAACGATCTCGCAAACAATAATTTCCATTGAATAAAGCAAAAAGTATACTCTGCATTTTTATAATAATAATTTTACTCTCGTTTAAAAAATTATATTAAAATTACTTCTATTAAAACAATCCGATAAAGTTTACACTGAGAAAAATTTTGGTCCAATGAATGATCATTAATCAATGTTCAACTTAATAATGTTATTTACGTTAATTAATGTCCAATTATTCATTGATACAATAACTAAATTCATTTATATAATCTTGCAATAAATTCTAGTAACAGTTTTATAACCTAAGAATTCATTGGACCAATTTTCATTAATTGAAGGAATATTTTATTGTATTTACGTACAGTTTTGGTTCAGTGTACCGACAATTTTAATCTTTATAACTTTTTAAAGAGCTGCTTCGGTCACTTTCACGGACGTTATTTTTTGCAGATTACGAAAAATCGTACGTTTTCATTTTTTTTCTCCAGAAAAGTATGATCTGCTTTCTAAATTTGTTGAAGCGGAATACTTAACAATGTGAAAATTATGTTAATCTTAAAAATAATAGCAGAATCTGTTATTTTGTATAATAGGATATTTTTTTCCTTAGAACGAGATTAGATCAGACAGTAATTGATGACAGTAGTCCATTGTAAAAAAAATTACTAATGGAGTGATACCGCAAATTAACATATTGTTTTTATTCGCAGGAGATTAATGGAGAGGGGCTCGTCCATCCCGTGGCGGGATACGCTGGGAGAAGCCACCGGCGAGTTCAGATTAGACGGATCCGCTCTTAGGGAGTACTTCCGGCCATTAGAGGACTGGTTGAGGACCGAGAATTTGAGGACGGGCGAAGTAGTCGGCTGGTCATACGGTAAGAGACAAAAAGGGAACCGGCGAGGGAGAGACAGATAGCTCATTCAATTATCAGCTAATCAACTACAGCTAGGAAAACTACATCCAAGTTCTAAAGCTTCTTACGTGAACCCTCGCTTTACCAAAATTGATAGAGAAGGATTCAAAGTTCTTTTATCTACAATTTTGATTTCATATAACAGTTGTACAGATTGTCGTACGAATGTTGAAAGATTTTTGCTCGAGTTTAAATAATCCGTTACTGTAATTAAATGTACACTATTTACAAAGTATTCTTCTTTTCGACTATTGCGACACTTCCCGTGTTTTAACGTCGATGTCCTACGTTACATTTATCCTTAATTAAAGATAATTGTTACAACGCCGGATACAAAGATCGATTCATGTGACGTCGTGGAACCGCCGTAGTACGATGCGGTGCCTTTCGACGTAACTCGCTACAAAATTATGCAATTTCCTACTGTAACAGATTGAAGGTTGCAATTCCCACGTGCTACTTTACTGGCGAGCGTTACAAATGTTCATTGTATGACGACATTCGACTTGTGAATTACGATCCGGCGTGTGTACGGCGAAATTATTGAGATTAACGGCCTGCACCTAACGAAGACCATGCATCTTGCCAAATTCTTAACGCCAATCATCGGTCGCGCGCGCGTTATATAAAAACGGTTACACGGGTAAGAACTCGGATATACACATCGTGCCGCGCGCTCATCCCATAAATTATGCCGATGCGTTTCGAAAGCATAGCGAAGCACTTCGAGCGGAATGTGTTATGAATTCTCTTAAATGAAGTAAAACCATTACATGTGCATAATAAATCAAGAAGTGTCGACATCTCAGGGAACGAATGGAAAAAACGGAACAGGACTTCGGTAAAATGGTAGCGGGGCTGATAATGAGGAACAATATTCCACGAATTAATTGCGAAGAATTCAACTGTCTTGGAAATAAAAGAAGAAATGTACAACGATCGTGTTGACGGAAGATCTCGCGCGAACGTGAGCAGCGCGAATTATTTGAACTGGAAATCTTTCTTGCATAAAAGGAAATACAATTCTATTGAAGTATTAAAAAATTTAGCTAAATACAAATCTGAAAAACATATTTCTTTCTTCGTATTAAAAAAAAATTATTTCTTGGGTCAATGAAAATTTCTTTAAAATTAAGATATTTTTCCTCAGCGTAGAATATAAAGAAAATTTATTGAATCTCTTGATACATATTTTTTTAAATAATATTAATTGTAACTGAACTCTTTTACTTACAATAAATAAATATTTATTTAATAAGGAAACGATAGTTAAATCAAGTTAATGGTTTTTGTATATCTAATAAATATACGTTTACATTTATACAAGTATTTAATTAGAATTATTCAAACAAATATTTTTTTACATATAAATTCAGTAAATGTCACATTTTTTTGTAACATTGTTTATCATTGTTTAAATTTCCTAAATAATTATGTTGACGGTCCAACAAAATAATTTTCAAATCTGTCTACCTAAATTTCTAGATGCCTTAGCAAAATCGTCTTTTCTGAATGAATCACCGCGGAGTTCCTTTTTTTTTTTCGAAACGACAACAAACGTTCGCACTATTTCCGCAATAAAACGCAGAGGCGGCAGAGTTCGCCACTGGGAGAAGAGGTCGATTGTAATGTTCTGGTCTCGTGGGACTGGAAAATTGCGAAAGCAGAGTGTGAAATAGGGAAAAGGCCGTCAGGAGAAGAGAGTTAGGAAAGGATAAATAGCGACAGATTGAAAGAAGAGAAGAAAGAGAGAGGAAGAGAGCGCGATGGAAGAATCGTGAGACAGGCTCGTTTCCATCGCGTGCCGTAAGAGTTCCCCGATGGATCCATCCATCCATACGTCCATCCATTCGCGAATTTGCGAGAAGGAAAAATTGCACGTGCACGTGCACGCTGGCATTAGACGCGCGCGCGCAAACTCCGTCTCTTCTCGCGTGAGAGCGAACATCGCGTTCACGTTCGGTCAATCGGGACCAGGCCACGCGTGATCGAGAAATCATTCGACTACGCAATATTACGTAATGAGATCTCCCGCCAGGCAGAACGGCCGATCCAGTTACACGAGATTTCGTTCCAGCAGGAAGTGATTCTGACGTAAAAACGCATTTCCCCGAAAGAGAGTAGATCTTTAAATTAAGATACGTTAAAAGAGTACGCCTCCGGCTGTGGAAACTGTTTTGATTTTTTTCTCGGCTGCTATACGGTATCTTGTGTGTCATAAGGAACATGCAAATCACGAAATAGGAAGACGGATTAGTCATGGTAGGAATATTCGTCATGTCCAGCCGCGGAAAGTGAAAAGACACAGCGTAATGTTAGAGAGTCGCTTTAAACAACCAATTTGCATTGCAGAAGTTCGTTTTACTTGATTGCAACGGTTATGCAGGCACAACGTTAGTATCGTTAGCTTAACCTGAATTTGAGCGCCGGCGGACGCGTGCAGTCCGTCGTTGCGTAACGTGCGTACATTCATATACATATGCGCACGACTTGTCAATATTTTCAACCAAAACAGCCGACAAAACGCGCCGGCGAAATGGTGCATAAATCTGTATTTGCTCTAGCAAAACGGTCATTCAGTACGCCAAGCAGCAGGAGGGGCTTCCTTCTCAGCGATGATTCTAAAGGAGCAGATGTACGCGGCGCTCATATACTATACGTAACAACGCAGTAAAACGAAATCATGGAACGCCAGTCATATAATTTCACTTTCGGTCGATCTTTCGTTCTCGTTTTGCCCGGCAACTTCTCCGATTATGGTCCACGTGTAACGCGCCTGTAATGTAACAGGAAATACAAAGAGCAAGACTTTCGATCCGTTGAACGATAATAATTCCTTAAGCGGTTTTAACCTGGGAATAATGACATAATTTTTTTATACTTAAACGATCTTGGAACATTTTTATGCCTTAATTGAGATCATTATTAATAATAACGTATTGTGTATTATTAATTGTGTATTATTAATTTTCCGCTTTATTAGTATATGAGAACATTTTATGTGTGGATATAGATTTAAGTAGAAACTATATTCCTTTCTCTCTCTCTCTCTAATAAACAAATATTAAACGAAGTATAAATACGTTAAATAGGCTATAATGAGTATTTCTAAAATAGTTTTCGAAGTAAAGGTTTTAATTAAAATAACGCTTTTTATCGCAAATTTTCGATGAACTTTGTAATAATGAATAGTTGATAAAAAAAAAAAATGTTAAACAATATATCTATACAATATGTTACAACAATGCACATTTTTTCGCTGCTGAGATATAAAAATACTTCAAATGATCATTCCCGAGTTAAATACCGTTATGCAGGCATTGAAAAGAACAGTTTTATCACGTATTGTTCGATACATCTCTGTTGCTTTGTTATGCATATATATTTATAAGTAAAAGTACAGGCTATGATTTACACGTGCACTGAGTGCAAGATCATAGCTGCAAATAATTGAAAGATAGATCACTTCATCTTTAAGGGAATCGGTATACTAGCTGTTTATACACTCCGTGCCGTGAGCTACCAATTATCTTATCGTATTTCACAGAAGATTGATGCTATTAAATTTTTCCGGTAATACTTAATCGTAAAAGCGATCGAGTAATTTCTCAAACGCGCGCGATCGTGGTCCATCAGTAAAAAAAAAAAACCGCGTTAATACGTCATACGATTGAATGAAGTAATATCAGTGCATTGTGCTCGGTGCCGAGATAATGAGATACGTGTTACTATTTAGCGTTTCCATTCCCCGTGCCACCTTCATCCATCGACATGGCCACAAGTGATTAAACCGTACCGTACACGTGCAAGAAATCGCTGTCTAGCGAGACCATAAGATAGCTCTCTGCGCAAACCCCGTTAATACACGAATAAATCGAGCGGAACGACGACACGCGATTAAATAAGGAAAAAGCAGTATTGACGAATTTGTCGAAAAAATATCTGCACGAAGGAACAAATGCTGCGAAGGGAAAGGTAGATCGACCTTTCGATCGTTGGTTACCTTTATTTACCGCGTGACTCTCTTTTCTGCTCCTGTCGATCTCGATTACGGGATTTTAGAGCGGCCCGTTTCCTCCCTTTCGCTCCTCCTCGCCGGTGTCGATCGCGCGATCTCCATGGCACGCTCACTTTAGACAATCGAAGAAAATGTCTCGGCTTCTATTTCCATAGATGGTTTCGTTGTTCTCTTCTGAGCAGCAAGTTTGATCAACCAAGAATCTGATCTAGTAAGAGTCTGGACATGAGACAGACAATTTTAATTGGGGTCCTCGTGTCTTAGCAACACCTAAGAAAAAATGAAAAAGATGAGAAAAAAGAAAAGAAAATAAATAAATAGGAAGAGAAAGATAGTAATTAAGAATCTCTTATTAAAGAGATCTCTCGTGTGGTTTTGCCAAAACTTGACACTCTGCTTAAACACGACTCGTATTTAGATTCTTATTAAAGCGTCTCTGCGTTTATCGATCGCCATTCTTAATGATCTGAAAAAGCTGACGCAATTTTGCAATTTAATATCTTATTTTGTTACATAGACGGAGACTTTTGCAAGAGGAGCATAGAGACCGCGGGCCTGCAGGTTTACGGTAGCGGCTTCTACAACAGCGGCACATCCATCTCCGCGTCTTGGATCGCTACGGGAATCATGATGGCTCTTTGGATTGTATCAACACTTTACTGAACGCAACGAGTAGCCGATTCGTCATCGAGCACTGCAGATGATAATAAATTAAAGGAAACACCGTTAATTTGCCAAAATATACCAAACCATATTCCTGTAAGATCACTGCGGATAAACCTTGAATAACGGTAATAGTTAAATTATTAATTTGAATGTAGCCAACCGAGCTGATTGACGGCAAAATAATACTGCCAAATAATACAAATATACTAAAGTACACTCTTGTCAAGCGTCAAGCTGCATGCTTCACGCGATGTAAAAAGGTCGCGCTGTCAATTTATAAACTTGTTATTACGTAGATCTGTGTATAATTGTAATACTATTAATATTATACGTTTATGCTATATGTTATATTACATGGTATGTCATGCTATAATATTATATACGTAGTATTAAGAATATATAAAGCGTGCCTGCAAACGTCGTATGTGTTGTGCGTGGGTGTAAATGCATAAATCATTTCATACACTTGAACGGTTCATGATTCACGCCCTGTAACTATCAACTTCACTGTTGATCGATCAAATAAAATTATACCTATTGTTGTAAAAAAATATCTCCGCGATTTTCACCGAGACACTTGTTATGCCATCCTTACTAACAGTTTCATTCTCTAAACATCTGGTTCTGTATATATACACCCTCCGGTTCTTTTAACAAGATTACAAAATTAATGCACAGTCAAATATCTCTCCCTTACGAGATTATTTTTTCATCGCTCAAGTGGACCAAATTATTTTCCAACGAACATATACATATAAAGGGCATATAAGAGTCTGAGTATTTGAAATAAACGTTATTCATTTAAATATTATAATATAATTGATATTTTAATTGATATATAGTTTCCAAATTATTTCATTTCGGCTCACAATTATCACACAAAAACAGCTCGTTAAATGATACGTTTACTTTTTTACGTTAACATATGGAGAAGCAGAAGAAGCATATTTCATGTTGGGTAAAGAAAGGGGATTCCCTTCGATTGGCGTATGCACAAAAGCTGTCCGACGACAAAAGCCACATCAAACTGCTCCCTTATCTTGCGTAATTGAAAGTCGGCGAAATCGTACCAGGTGAAATCGCACTTTTGTTGTCAAATTACGGTAAACTCAATCAGACTGTCTTATCCCTCGCTACTTTATTATATCTTTTATTATCGCCATTAGATCGGATATTCTTCTTAACTACCCTCGCATTTCATTCGTTTCGATATTAGCGTGAATGCAAATAACGATTTCTGAAACGATTTTGATATAACTAGCGTGTGTATTAATTAATTACACATCAATTCGCTAATTAACTGTATTCTTTTAAATTACAAAAAATAACATGCTTGGATGCTAAAAATTTTATAATTAAATATATAAATTATTAATTAATTATAATATAAAAATCTTAAAAATAAACTTTGGTATGTGTGTGGAATTTTAGCCGGTTATTTTTAATGATATACATGATATTTGTAATTTAATAAATAGATATTTTTACAAAATCAGTATTTACTTGTTCGAAAATTGGAAACCTAAAATTAAAGGCTTAAATATTAATCCCAGATAGTAAATCGCTCAACAATAGGAGTCCTTATTAAACTCTTTTGTTTTACGGTCGCTCTCTCGTCTGATTTTTACAGCGCGCGCCGACGCGTAGGACGTCAGCTTTCACGTGAAAGAGATGCCGTTATTGTTTGCAAAGGCATGCCACTGAAACGTACCGCACGTAATTGCACAAAGGTGGTCCCTGTCCAGAAAACTGGTCCGCCCGTCTTGCGTAACCAGAAGACCGCGGAAATCGACCTCGTCGGGCAAAAAGAAACGCTTGCATCATCATCGAACGCGCAACATGCATGCATTTCATCGTGCGCGCGACCGGAAATATTTTGATCTTTATCATTTCACACGGCGAACGCATACCATCAATACCCTCTGACGACGACGAAAGTGGAATATTTGATTTCAACCAGCCGCCGTGCGAGGCTCATATCTTCTGACGTGGCGCAGATTGATTTCCCGCATTTTCGAGATCCGATCCAACTTGTCGAATTAACGACGTAGTGTGCAATTATTCCTTTCTTGCGTAATCGTTGAGAAATAATTTTCGCCACGAGCCAGTCCATTTCCTGTCGCGGAGGAGATTCTATTAACCGAAGCGACGCGGATACGCGATTTTAATTCATTCCGAGATAACTTCAAACACGGAAATTGACGGAGAGTCGTAAAAAGATCAAAGAATCCATGGTACCTGACTCTGTTTCCAATTGATCTATTCCATTATAGAATCACAGATTGCCCCGACAATTAAGCGTCGTCTTATTCTAAGTTTCTATCCTGAAATCATTTGAAAATTCTTACTTAATGTGTGAGCAAGATATTACTTCACACATCAGACGTTACCTTGTTACGTTCGAAACAGTAATTCATATTCCATTTGGCTCATATCCGTCAGTATTAATCTGAAAATAAGAAATCAAGTTGATTGTCAGGAATACATAATCCCTCATTACTCTCTTCCAGACATAGGCGCCACTTTACCAAGAAGTGTATGGACTTTTAATTTCATTGCTTTCTTTTCGTTTAAAAAACTTGATTGGATATTAAATAAGGTATAACTATAATACTGCTTTTGTAAAAAGATATTAATTTTAATAATAGTAACAAATAGTAATTTTCTACCAACTGCACGAATCATACTTTTCGACATCATAAATTTTATTGAAAAGCTCCCTAAATTCTATTACTAATGATAAATACGTTGCCCAACGAAGACATTATGGATTAATTATATTATTTTCATTTTTCTCTTAATTTTATTTTTTTTATAACGGGAAGCGATGAAGCGTTAACAGGTGAAGAATAAATTTGATGAAAGAAGACATTGATGAAAGAAGACATTGATGAAATAGTTTCTCTCCCGTTAATAATGCTAAGATTAAGCAATATTGACGGATAACATTGATGAGAGTCTTCTGAAGACCAATCATAAATCGCTCCATGGAAACCAGTCAGAGATGGATGAATCGGACGTTTTGGTTGGTCGACGCCCATGAGACGATGGTTTGGCGATCTGCCCCAAAACTGGTTCGACCAGTTGCATAATCGGAAGAACGGGAAGTCTTGTGCCTTTCCGCGAAACGTCTGCGAGGCGCACAATAAGAGCTGACTGACTTGGACGTCACTCTCGTCCACTTTCACCGCGTCGGTTGCGCGCGCGAGCGCGGTTTTAGCCGGTGGATTTAGCCACGACGCGACCACCAGCTACATCCGCGACCGAAATCTGCGAGAGAGGAAAGGAGAGAAGAGGAGAGAGAAAGAGGTGCGCAATTTCGCCGGACGACCGGAATCGGATGTAATCGGTTTAATTGAGACCTGCTGAAAAAAGGAGCCGCGATCCGACGAAATCACCCGTTTCGAAATTGTGCGTGAAAGTGATCGAAAGCAGATCGACGCCCTTCGCCTCCGTCTGCCGAGCACGCCGGCATTGACACAGGTGCATGTTTTGTAGATCGCGAAGAAAAGAAATCAACGTTTCGTTATTCACGAGTTGAGTAATATTTGAATGCCGAAAGAATCGGTTATGCGTATCGAGCGTATATAAAAGATTACTCATGAAATAGGTTTGCAAGATACATTATAGATGACATGAGATGGACCGAAGGGAATTGATCGCGTGTACTTATGGGCACGCGACGCATCGTCAGTCGTTTCGAAACTATAGGTGAAAGTGATCAAGAAATTAAACGATAAATTTATATTAAGCGACACTAGCAATATCTAACTCTCTAATGTGAGTGTTAACATTTCAAATTAATTAGCATATAAAATGTAAGTAATTAATTCGGCAAAAATATAAGCTAAATTGGCTTTGCAGTAAAACTTTCTTTCGGAGAATTGGCGATTCGTTTAACTGTCTTTCTACGCATAACAAAAATTATACGAAACGCAAGACTTACTTCGAAATATTTTTCTTTAATCTGCTTGCGATTTTTTTTTAATAGAGAATAATAGATATCACAATTTTATTAGTTACGTATTATTTTATGAGATTCGTTTCTACATTCTATATAATATTATTTTAACATAATTTAGACAGCACATAATTCGTAATAAATCTGCAAATATATTTTGTTGCGATCATGTTACATGTAAAAATCAAATGGTGAACAAATAAGATTATTTTATTATTGCGATTATCTTTGTTTGGCTGGTTCTACTGAGAGAAAAAATATTTGTATTACGGCGGGACAAATAGTGAGAGAGATAATGACGGTTTTCTGCCTTTTGAAAGGTGCGCTTTTGAGAAACAACTACATCGGGATAGTTACGGTGATCGTAAAGACTATTACGTCTGCGAAATAAACTTGGGGTCAACGATATCCCAGAATAATATCTGGCATTACTTGGCTGGTAATGAGGGTATAATTATGATTAGTGTTTCAGTGAAACAATGCCCAATGCTTATGCAACGCGAGACATAGAGCGGCACCAATGTCACTGTCTCGCGCGATTAGGTCGACGATTTATATAGTACAACGAATCATGCTGACTGATGCAGAAAGCATGGACCATTGTTCAATCTTTGTTTTTCCTTTCACGTAGGATTTTATTTATTAATTTTATAATGCCTATTAATTAACGTTTACAGTACAAGAAAGCCACTGTAGTGGCACTAAAACGATATCACATTTTGAGGCAAAGAATATAATACAACAATAAATTATAATAAATCTTACTCAATTAAAGTTGTAAGATTTTAAAAGTAGATTCCTGTTATCTAAAAATTATTTTTTTTTGCAAATTTATTTTAATAATCTTTTTAAAAGAATGTAGAGAGATATAATATACTTTTACATATGTTTCTTAATTAATTACAGAAAAAAATTTCTTGTTTTGAAAACAATAAAATTTGGTAAGATAAATTTCATAACAAGCATGTTGAAATAAGCGTAACAAGAAGTCCAGAGCCAAATAAAGTAAATAACGTAACGCAAGTTACATTATCATTTGCCGTTTTGCGAGTTCTCTCTCTCTCTCTCTCTCTCTCTCTCTCTCTCTCTCTCTCTCTCTCTCTCTACTAGATACAGTTTTTGTCTGTTGACTTAAATAACCTTGTTACAAAGAAATGTCGACTTCTTGTTTTCATTAAAAAAAAAAGGTAAACGAGAGAAAAGAAAGTATATTCGAATTACAAAACGGAAGCTTCGGATTGCGCGTTTCAAGTACGCGCTCAGAAACGCTTTCTCGAGAAATGTAATATTTTACTCTCGC